CTATCTACCTCGACAATCGTATCGTCTTCGCGCTTGACGGCGGAAAGGTTCTCCTCCCCTGCCTCCGTGCCTGCCTGCCTCCCTTCCTCTTCCGATATTTTTGACGTTTCCTTTGTTCCTGATCCCACTACATGCTCCTCCTGCCCTTGTTCCATTCCCTCCTTTCCTGCTGCTGCCTCTCCTCGTGTCCTCCTCTACCCCTGGCCCTCCCCGGCCCCTCCCACCCTCCCTTCTCCAACTTCACATCCTCCTCCTCCTCCTCCTCCTCCTCCTACATCATGCTCTCATCGTTCTACATCCCCCCCCACCCCCCCACCACCACCTTCATTTCCGCCTGCGACTCACGCTGCTGCAGTGGAGGCCGGTCGCGCTGGATGACCTCCTTGAGAAGGCGAAGAAGAAGTAAGAATGAAGTCGACGAAGAGGGAGACGAGGAGGAGGAGGAGGAGGAAGAGGAGTGGAGGAGAGCATTTTAACCGTGGGAATGAAATGTAATCGTTACAATCTTCATTCACAAATAATTACAGAAACAAACGGAATGTAGCAATGGGCAAGAAGCCTCTACAAAGGAAAAAGAAACAATCACAACAGAAGAAAAAGGAAAACAACCATCAGCAACTTCTCTCAAGCGCTTCTCCCTTCTCCTTCACTCTCCTCCTCCTCTTCACGCCAGCAACGCCCTGTCCACTCCTGGCAGTGACTGCCAACCCCACAGCTGCTGCAGGGGAGACGCCGCCACTTTCTCCTGCGGAGCAGCCCGGCATCCTACAGGAAGTCCACGAGGAGGAGTTTGACCTTGGTCTCGTGGGAGCTCGAAAGCAGCTGCACACTCGCTCATGGGTACCTGGGCAGGAAGGGAGCGAGGAGGGGGAGGAGAAGAAAGGAGAGGAGGAGGAGCAAGCGTGATGGTTCGGTCGTAAGAGTCCACGCAGAACAAGCCCTGGCATCTGATCAGCACCTCGACCCCGCTAGGGGGCCTGTGCTTGCCCTCCATGAAGGTAGTGATCCTCTCAGCCTCCTGGAACGACATGCTCTGCATCGGCCTGCTCTCCAGAAGCCTCTTCACCTCCTCCACGTAGAGGATGTTGTGGTTGGGTCGAGCCTCCGCTATGCATCCTCCTCGCTTCCCAAGGATGACCTCTCTGTTCTCGCATGCCCGCAGTGCCGCTGCTGCGTCCATGAAGCTGACGAAGTTGACGAACGCACATCCGTCCATGAGCTTGACGGGAGGGAGGCCATGGATGGAGAGAGAGCACAAGGAGCCAAAGACGCCGAAGGTGGAAGACAGACTTGCCTCGTCCTCGTCATAGACGTTGCCAACGAAGATGGTGAAGTTGGGAACTGGCTCTCCCTTGATGGAGATCGACAGGCGGCTGCAGTCCATGGGAGGAGGAGGGCACCTTCCCTCTCCAGCATGGAAGCGCAGATGATCGACGTAGACCCTGAGCACATTCTTGGCGAGATGAGCGCTTTCAGCATCCTGGAAGTTGAGGTAGGCAAGTTGAGGGTAGGCTGGGTCGGTTGGCAAGCGGTCGAAGACAACTTGAGCGCTGCACGGGAGGGGCAAGGCAGGCGGAGAGGAGGGATGTGACAGAGGAGGAGAGCAAGAGGGAGGAGAGGGAGGGAACATCCCGGAGTGTGGGTTGGGGATCTCTCCCTGCATTCCCATCGGTGGAGCAAGAGGAGGAAACGAGCTCGTGGACAGGAATCCAGCATGCGGCCCTGGAGGACCGGGAGGAGGCATGTTGGATGGAGAGGGAGGAGGGGCAGAGGAAGAAGCAGAGGAGGATAAGAGGGAGAGAAGCTGAGGGAGGGTGGCCCCATGCGGGACGCCCTTCATCACTAAGGTTTGATTTGGCGGGTAGTGCATTTTTGTGCAGTTGGTCAGCAAGTCGGGGAGAAGAGAGAAGAACTTGGTCTAGAGGAAGGGGAAAGATTCGTAGGTATGATGGTAACGATGAAGAAACGGAGATGGAGGAGGAGGGAGGATGGAGGAGGGAGGAGGAGGGGAAGAACGTGCGTAATCCTCGTACGAGCGAAAATGCAGGAAATCAATCAGTCAGCAGGAAGGGGGTGGCAAATTAACGTGGGGGTGGGGTGTGTTGATGATGGTGGGCGGGTAGGTCATCAGTATTATGTCATGGTAGGGGTGGTAAAATAAGGGGTAGGGGTGATCAAAACACTACCGAATTAATGGGAATAGATGTTTAGCAAATGTGGGTGGGGTGTACCAAGGACACGGTGTATATGTACCAGGGGAGATATTGGTGGGGTGGGGAGAAAATCGTAGGGTGGGGTGGTGGGGCCGACTGGAACAAGGTTTGTGGTAAACTGAAGCGTGGTTCAAAGAGGGGTGGGGGTGTAGAATTGGGGTATTTGATCAACAAGGGTGGGTAGATGGTGGTAATCACATAAATAAGGGGTTGATTTGATGTGGTGTCAAGGTTTCAAGAAGGGGTATCAAAAATAAGTGTGGGGCCCTTGGGGTTAGTCACGACAAATTTATGGGTAGTCGTGGTGTTGGGGTCTATTTGAGGGGGTGGGGGTGAAAATTGAGTGTCAGTCAGTCAAACAACGAAAGTTCTACGAATCGTACATGACAAGGGGGTGGGGTAGTAAAAGGGGGGTGGGTGGATGGGGATGGTATGATGACTGGCGAAGAAAAAGAGTAGAAAATAGGGGTGGGGCGAACGACAGCCTGGAGTATGAGGGGTGGGGTGCTGTCAATGGGTTCCGGGGTAGGGTATGGGGTTCAATTTTGTATTTCGCTGGGAATAAATAGGTGGGGGTAGGTCAAAGATGGGTAGTAATATGGAGGGGCTATCTTTGAACTACAAAGGTGGGGTACTGAACAGGGGAAAATTGGGTGATCAAGGAAAGGACCCCGTGTGATGGGGTGCTGTTGGGGAATGGGGGGTGAATGCCCGTAGGAGGGCATTCGGAGAGTGACAAGATGGTAGGCGGGGTGTAACAAGAGGTGAGGGCAATAGGGGTGCTTTAGATAGGGGGGTACAATTAACACTTCAGATTGTCAGGGCAGCTTATTGAACCGGGTACTTTGAAGGAAAATATAGGGTGCTCATTGGACACAAAGGCAGGGGTACTATTCTTTGAGGGGTGGTGGTAGGTTGGCAGAGAGAGTGATGATAAAATGGTGGTGGGGTACGGACAATCTTTGACTGCACAAAATTCAAGAAGGGGATAAGATATGACCCCACCCTATCTAATGAGTTGAAGTTGGTGGTCAAAGAGGGGTACAAAACAAAGCAATGGGTGACCTCTTGAGATTTGAATGGCAGGCAGATGAAGCACCGGTCCACGGAATTGGACCGGTCCATTCTGCTGATCAGGTCGTAGCAAGTCACCGGGTTGTTAGGGCGAGTTAAAATAAATTGAAGAGGGGTAGGGTGATGTTACCAGAAGGAGTTAACTGAGGCCTTTGAGGACTGGTCATGGAGGACTGGTCGGATGGTTGGGGGGTGGGGGGTGAACATTTTATGTCAATGAGGGGTGGGTGGTCGCTCTGTGTGGGTGGTCCGAACCAAGGTGGGGGTTCAAGAAGTAATATATATCAAAAATATTTTTAAAAATCTTTGTACCTGGGAAGGCGTAACTCAGTTTCGGTTGTCAACGAAATAACTCATTTTCGAAAACTTGCTAAGTTGTAGAATCCGAGAACACAACATTTCGTCGTGTACTCACACGTAGGTCCACACTACCCCACCCCATGCTATCTCACCCCCCTCATAGCACCCCACCCCCTCCAATGCCCGTTGCGACCCTCATACTGCACGTCACTACTGACAAACGGAGTCACGTCCAACTCAGATTGCCCTCATCCCCGCTCATTCCATGTATGAGGGCTTTAGAACATGAGGGCGGGGCGGGCCTGCGGGCGGGCAGCGGGGCGGGCCTGTGACAAACCAGCGGTCGGTATGAGGGACAATGATCGAAGAACGTGGGTACCCCTACCTACTCAAACACCCATGGATTCATCCTGAATTGGATGGTGGTCACGTTTTTTGGGAGAGAAGGGGTGGTCAACCATATGAAAAGGAGGGGTCGAAAGGGAGGGATTGAAGGGCAAATGCACTAAGGGGGTGGGTAGTTGCTGCACGTGGAGGATCTACGGCAATGGTACGAGAGGCGATTATTCTTCTTTCCTCCTGCTCCCCCTGCTCCCGCTCCTGCTCCCCCTGCTCCCCCTGCTCCCCCTGCTCCTCCTGCTCCTCCTCTGTTCACCTCCTCTATTCACCCTCCTCTCTGCCTCCGCTCAGCCGCTATTCTTCCTGCTCTTCCACAACATTTATCTGTCGATGCCCCCTGTCGCGTGATCTCATATTCCCTGCACCTGCCCTTGACCTCTCTTGCATTGGTGGAGGCTCGATGATGAGACCAAGAAGCTATGCGCTCCCTCCGACTGTCAGTGAGGAAACAAACTGCTTTCACCGGCGCACTAAGAGCCTTGTCCTCAATCATTAGCAGAGAGATGTTGTTATCGTTCACCTGACACCTGTAACAGGTCACACAACTTGCGGCTGCGAGGGACGCAACGAATATGGTCAACGTGGAGGGGACGCATCAAGGTTTCAGATGATGATAAAAGAGATGACAAGACAGTCATGAGTTGGTAAGCACACGTTGATGTGTATTCTTACCCATGCATTCGGTATCTCCAAAGCCATCGCGTGTCATCGCAATGATGGCATCTGGTCGTTTTGAATGCTAGATAACTCGTGGAATTTAGTTTGATGATCTCATGTTCTCTTGATTTCATCTTGGTGTTCCGCATACATCCTCTCTCATCCTTGAAGGATCCTGATATGACACCAACAGATCTTGTCCAAGAGAAGTGAACATCGAGACGGGGTGGAGCTTTGAACATAATGTTCAGGGTATGTGAAGGTGAGGTTCGCCGCTGTGTTGTGCATGTCCTCTCCCTGTTGTCGGCATGTGAAGTGAGAATTCCTCGTACACGTTCATCATACGTGACACCCAAGAAGATTATTTTGTCTGATGCCACTGAACCACTACAACTGCCTCTGATGATCTGATTTGCCGCTCATGCTTCGTGCAGGTCTCACACAAAGTCTCTTCATCTTCTACTTATCTCTTCGATGCACCAACACTGCAAGGTAGCGATCCTGTGAGTTTTCACATGACGCACGTCCCTCCATGCCGAACCTCTGCATGGTGAAGGCATCTCGTGACTGTGCAACACGTGCTCGTCTTTCTTTCACCGGCATGAGATTGCTCAATGACATTCTGGATTGTTCTGGGACGAGACATGTGCTCCTTTGTACATCTGCCTTGTTTGCTCCCCTTCATGTCTTTCTGGTTGCTCTCCCGCAAGCAAGCACATCCCTCCCCGCCCAGCCACCTCATGGCGAATGCGGCTCGTGATCGTGCGAAAGGGTCGGTCTCTACACCTCTAGTGCTAGCAAGACGATGATGCACTGGCGATCAGGGACTGGACATCTCCCCCGCTTCCTCCCCTCCTCCTCCTCGTCCTCCTCGCCCTCCTCCTCGCTTCTCACGTCTGAAAACGCAGGTTAGGAGACCCAGGGGGGGGACCGGAGGACGAAGGTCGACACGTTGATGGTGAGTGAGGAAGAGAGATGATGATAATGACGATGCTGTGCGAACTGCAAACGACGAAATCAATCACAAAAAAACACCATCTTTCGGGGATGATCCGAATGATTATAAGTGACTTCTGATGTTGTGAAACTGTTTATTGTCTCTACCGATGGTCTTTTTTTCCATGCTGATGTCTGTCATGGCAGATTGGAGGGAAACGAAACTTGCGAGTATGAGAGTGAAAGGAAGTCAATAAGATTGTGCATAATCTGCCCATTATTGGAAATGAAATGGAGAAAAACCAATCTCTAATTTTCTCGTTCTTTTCCTTTAAGGCATTTCATCTGACAGTTCCATCTTTACTTTCATACCTGCTTGTCTTCGTTCATCCCTTATCCCTCTGCACTCCTTGCCTCGCCCTTCGCCTCCTGCTCCTCCTCCACTCCCCCCCAGCCCCTCTCTACAAGTTCTTCCCCCCTCCTCTACGAGGCTTCCTCTACCTTCTTTTAGAGGGGGATCGTTACGGTAGTAACCCCACCCCCACCCCCATTTTGGTGACCCCACCCCGACTATTCACTTTCACAGTAGATGAAATCCCATCAAAATCACCTCCACTACCCGTCGTCCTCCTAACCCTACCCCCATACCAAAAGGGGAGCGCACTTCTCAACTGCCGCCATGCTGGTAGTTCTTGTGGGAGCCTCCGCCTCCTCGCATGCTCAGCGTCTTCGATCAGCGCTGCCCATCCCCCTCCTCCCCTCCCCCTTCCCTGCTACAGCCTCTCCTCCTCCCTCCCCTCTCCTCCCCGCCAGCATGGCTACCTCTCCCAAGAAGATCGCAGAGGCAGCGGCGGACGCAGTGGAGAGGAGGGGAGGGGGGCTGCTGGCAGGGTTTCCGAGGACGATGGAGGAGGCAGAGGCTCTTGAGGCAGCGCTGAAGAAGAAGAAGAAGAAGCTCTCCTATGTCATCCTCATTGACGTGAGCTTATCTTTCCATCCCACCACCACTGCTGCTGCTGCTGCTGCTGCTGCCCCCGCCCCCGCCGCCTCTGCCCCCGCCGCCACTCGTCCTGCTCCTGCTACTCGTCCTGCTCCTCCTCCAACGCCAGCTTCCTGCTCCTTTTGCTTTGCTCTCTCCTTCAATCCCTCCTGCTCTCCTTCCCTCCTCCCCCATTGCTCTTTCCTGTACCTCAACATATCGCGCGCATGATTGTGACCGTCAGGATGGGGACGAGGCCTGGTTCGAAGAGGCGGACGCCATGCTCGCGTGGTACGACGAACGAAAGATGCTCAAGACGGTGGACGGTAGGAAGAGAAGATGGAAGAGAGGAAGAGGGAAGAGGGAAAGAGGGATGATGATGATGATGATGACGATGCTGATGATGATGGTGGTGGTGGTGGTGATGATGATGATGATGACGACGACGGCGATGATGATGATGATGATGATGGAGATGATTATGATGATTGGGAGGAGGAGGATAGAGCTCACGGAGGCCTTCAGGGACTTCTTTCGACGAAGTGGTGGAGGAGGACCTCCTGCGCATCATGCACGAGCTGCTGGCGGAGGAGAGGACGAGAGCGATGATACAACAGGACACGAAGTTCGTGGTTGAGCCGCAGCTGAGTGCAGACCTGGAGCAGTCCTCTTCCTCCCTGCTTGGCGGAGCTTCTCAGACTTGGCAGGATGCGGAGAACGTGCGATGGATCGATCCGAGGACGATGGGGAACTCGGTCTCACTGGGAGGAAGAGAGTCAGTGCTGCTGTCCTCCATACGCCGCAAGGAGTACACGTCGAACGAGAGGTAACGGCAAGCGAGGGAGGAGGAGAGGCAAGAGAAGAGGATGAGGATGGGAAAACCAGAGGGAGAGAGTGGAGGAGGAGGGGGGAAGATGAGTAGGGGTGGGTGAGGCAAGAGGCGAGAGGAGGGAGGAGGCAGTGAGGGGGGTGGAGCAGGAGCAGGAGCAGGAGCAGGAGCAGGATATTATTTCCTGACGCTACATGCAGGTTGAGGATTGACATGCGTAGGCACGAGAGGTCAAAGCATGATCCCACAGACAAGTACGCCACGGTGAGACCCTCTCCTCCTCCCCTGCTCTCCCCCCAAGCTTAGACCCCAGCAGCCGCTGACCTCGTCCATGGTGGTGGGATGGGGCGCAAGGAAAGAAGGTGAGCTCGAGAGCCTACGGGTTGTGGGTGAACGAGTTGATTGCAGAACTTTACAAGAAAGATCCAGACATGTTCCATCCCCGGATGAAGTCAAGGTGACTCCTTCTCACCCTCGTCCTCCTTCTCGTCCTCGTCCTCGTCCTCGTCCTCCTCCATCGTTCCTTTTGACAACACAAATCTTCAACTCTACTTCACAGCTCTCCCTCCCTCTTCAGTGATCACGACGGCAGGGAAACCATGTTTGCCGAGGCTTTGATTCTCGGACCTCGTCACCCCTAGCCTTTGGACCCCTACCGCCCTTCCCTCCTCCTCCTCCTCCTCCTCTTCCTCCTCCTCCATCAACTTCCTGCTTCCTTGAGCTTGTTGGGATTGACCTGCTCAAGTCTAAGAAAAACCAGAAAAATGAAGAGAAAAGCAAAGCGATGAGAACAGAGGAGGGGGAGGAGGAGGGGGGGGTACAGAAGGACGAGGACAAGGGCGAGGAGGAGGAAGAGGGGGAGGGGGAGGGGGAGGGGGAGGACGAGGAGGGGGGAGGGGGAAGGGGAGGAGGGAAGGGAGGAACTGGACTT